AGACCAGGGAACTCTTGGATCAGTACCTCCAAAGATATTGATTTGAGCCGTGATGGCTCAGAGGATAGAGCGTTCGCCCTCCAATGACGTGAACCGGGTTCGAATCCCAGCGATGGCTTATCGATTCGAATTCCGCATCAGGCTTACACCGACCATAGTACTAACGTAAAATATCCTCAGTAATTATTATACAACTAGAAACATACATGCCTTTTATAACAGTTTAGATGTTTGTTAAATTAATCTGACCAGTAGATTGAAATTACTGAGCAAAAAGTTGACTCTTAGAGTCTCGTAATTTTGTTGGTACTGGGTCCATATCTAAGCTTACAAACTGAAAGGAATTGTTCAAATATTAATTTGATAATTAAGTTCATTATATGGAGCTGGTGTAATCGATTATAGCACAAATAAAATCGTGATTTACCATTAATTTCAAAATTTACGAAGCATTCAACGTTCGGCCTGTTGCCATGAATGGAGTAAAAAACATCTAAACTTTATCACCTTTTGGTGCTTTCAAAGTGTGCTTGAAAGATTTTTCGAGTTTTTCTACACCAAATTCGGTAATACACCACAGTTTTTACGGCGTAGTGGTCAAATTCTCGAAGTCCCTCAAGTCATACAATAGAAGCTCCAAAACATCCAAAGAAAATGGGTATAAAGAAATGGGTAATTGAATGGCAAAAGGAAATGTTTTACGAACTCAATCAAGTTTAAATGGGCAAAATAAATCAAATCTTGTTGCTCTTAAGATTTTTATGAAACTTTTCGTGAAAAAATACATGATAAACGATAAAATTTTTTCAAATTTTTAGGATCAAATCACGATGAGATTGCTATTTTCAAATTTTCTCAATTTAACAGAATGGCGTAACTAGAAAAAGTGGCTCATATTTTTTTAACCTCTGTAACTGTTTTATTTATAAGTTAATTTTCTTAATTTTGGTGCCATTAGAAGGAAAAAAAGAGAGAAAAACGTGACAAAAAAAGCTATTAAAAATCTGGAAATATGTGTTTTAAATATACATATAGACCTTAAAATGCAGGTATTTTTGACCAATTTCCTTACTAAACAATACAATGAAAACAATTTATTTTATTTAAGGGCAAGCAAAGGAGTTTGTAAACAGTTTTTGAAATAACTTCCATGGATGCAGCTAATTACGCGCAAAGTAAAATAAACATAAAAGACCTTAAAATGTAGAGATTTCTGACCAATATATAACTAAATAGTTTAGACCATACATTCTAGATTTTAGCCTTTATTTTGATGGAGAAGAAACCATTGGAAGAGAAAATACGTTTTTGTGTTCGATTTGTTAACTTAAAATACAATCTGTACTGATTATTTAGCATATTTAACACTAAACCCACGAGCCATTATGATTTTCTCTTAGTACGTGAAACTTCGACTCATGAACCAAAATTTTGCTTTCATTTATTAATTTTATTTTACTCTCTTAAGAGGCATTTACCCTTGCCATTTTGGATTTACCGTTAAAGTTTTGATTTTTGTTTTCTTGATTCGTTCATTGAGTTTATTTTCTCGTACCTCACAAACTTTACTTAATAAAACCTTTTGTTCGACAGCAGAAAACCTTTCAGAAAAAAGGTAGAAAATAAAGGGGTCACTTAATCAGACGAAACGAAAAAGCATTTGATGATTTTCAGAACTTCTGTGATTTTTCCTCAAAATTATAAGGCAATAAAATCAAGTGTTTTTGATTTTGAATCAATTTCTTTAAACTATATATTTATAAGTTTTATATTTTTCAAAATTCAGTTTTGTGACAGTTTAGACTCCTGAAAGGCGATTCAAATGATGAAAATAAATTATTTTAACGTTATAACAAAGATTAAAAAAATCGAAAACCAGACAAATATGTCTATTTCCCTAGCTTTCAAAAACTACTGATTGAAGAATGAGATTAGTACAATTTTGTCTGGCTTTTTTTTTTATACATTTTTTTTCTGAAATACCGCACGCTTTATATCTCGAATTCTGATTATGTGACGGATTTTATATGCATCTAAAAGTATTACCGAATAAATATCCACCTGTGGTTTGTTTAAGTGGTTTATTAGCATATTAAGTGGCTTAAAAGCATATTAAGTGCTTCCTTTCCCTTCTACAATTGAGTTCGGTCGGACTGCTCTCTTAACAGTTAAAGCATTTTAACGAGACTATTTTTGGAAACTTGTCGAAAATTATCTTATTGATCTTTAAGAATTATCTTATTGACTGAAATTGAGCCGTGATGGCTCAGGGGATTGAACGTTTGCCTTCCAATGAGGTAAACCATGTTCGAATCTCAACGAAGGCTGGTCGATACGAATTTCGGATCCGGCTTACATCGACCACAGTGCTGACGTAAAAATATCCTCAGTGGTAAACGGATCATGGGAAGTCCTCCATGAAGGCAAATTTCTCTCAATATTTGATCCAGGAGTTCCCTTGTCTTCTGGATAGGGATCAAAATTACATGGCTACGGAGTTGAACATTAGTAGTCGTAAACCCTAAAAACTGGGTCGGCTGTTCAATGATGGTTATAATTAAAATATAATATAATATAATATAATATAATATAATTATATTATCTTAGAAGATACAATCCTCTAGGAGGCCAGAATCCACTGGCCTCCTAGAGGATTGTATCTTCTTAAGAAAAAGCCAGGCCATTTTAAAGAAAGAGATTTTAAATGCAAAACGCTCTTCTTTTAGCAAGTTTCTGGAAAATATGAACTATCGAAAAGATGGACCAAAAGCTTTTAGATTTCTATCTGCTCTAAATGGAAAGCGCACACAACCTTGCAAACAACCTTTGAAGGTTGGCAATAGAACTTTAACCTCAAACCAAGATATTGCCAAAGCTTTTTTGAAACTTTATCGCAAG